CAAAGCCCTTGCCCCGAAAGCTAACAGCCGCTGCACAGCGCACACACACTTCCCTGTTTTTGCCACCTGTCCCCCTGGTTTAACTGCCCAAGGACATGGTGAAATCAGACCACCTTCAAGAATAGCACTTGCAACTTCTAGCCTCCCACAATAACTTATGCTATTCAAATACTTCCTGCAACATCAGTCCTTCAAGAACCACCAACCAACCAGCATATCTCATACTTAGGTTATTCTCCAAAACTATTCTGTTTTTACTTTGGGGAGGGTGTTGGAGGAGGCTGAGTCACAGGAGGCTCTACAGGAATGCATAAAAATGCACACATGCTCATTTTTCACAGGCATGTTGAAATAAACTATCAGCTGCATTCCAGAGCTCTAAGGGCTCCACGGACAGGAGCAGGACTAGAAATGGGGAAGTAAATGTGTCCAACTCCCAAGGAATTCAAGTCACCAACGTTTACATTTTTTTCTATTATACTTATTTCACAGGTGATGAAACAGAGCCCAAACAGACAAACTAACCTAGTTTCCCACACCTAGTAGTGGAGTCAGCATTTAAATCTGCATGCCACCAAGCAAAACAATCTTCCATCATATGAGGGGGCAAAAAGCAAATTAAAATCATGAGATCACTTCTGCCCACAAGAAGTACTGATACTCAACCCTAGCTAAGATGTAGGGGACAAGCACTCTCACGACCATTAATGGGAGCACTGACCAGGACCTACCAGGAGTCTATATATGAACTCCTGCCACCCAGCAACTTCATCTGCAGAAATTTATTCTAGAGAAACTAAAAAAGGGAAAAAAAAAATTAGCTGCTGGAGAAACTACAAAAGAAAAAAAAAAATCAGCCAGGCACACTGGCCCATGGTTGTAATCCCAGCAATTTAAGAGGATGGAGTCCAGAAGTGCGAGACCAGTCAGGGCAACACAGCAAGACCCCCGTTTACAAAACGTTTAAAAAATCAACTAGACATGGTGGCACATGCCTGTAGTCCCAGCTAAACTGAAGCAGGAGGATCATCTGAGCCCAGGAATTTGAGGGTACAGTGAGCTATGACTGTGCCACTGCACTCCAGCCTGGGCAGAGCGAGATCCTATCTCAAAAAAAAAAAAACCAGGCACAGTGGTTCACCTGTAATCCTAACACTTTGGGAGGCCAAGGCAAGAGGGTTGCTTGAGGCCAGGAGCTCAAGATCAGCCTGGGCAACACAGTGACAAAAAACCAAAAAGTTAGCCAGGCATGGTGGTATGCTTTGTAGTTCCAGAAGCATAGGAGGCTGAGGGTGGATCCCAGAAGTTCAAGGCTGCAAATCATGTCACTACACTCCAATGGGGGGGGGGGG